TAAGTTACCTATTTTATTTTATTAGCCTAGAGGAAAAAAAATAATTTTTCATATTTTACTCACATTTATATTTCTTTAGTGAAATTGTGACAAGCGCTAAAAATTCAAGAGTCAGTTTTGATTGATTGTACTGTTAATACTGTTCAATGAAATGGCGACTATACATGGTTTTTTAAGCCAAGTATGAATGGAGATGAGTGTAGGTTGAGTGGCGCGATCTTGTAGTCTTGTTAGTGACTAAGGCCGACATTCCTTAGACACAGCTGTTAATTAATAGCCCATACAGCTAATGGCAACTAAAGGGACCTACAGTTTATAGTGGAATCCGATTGATCGGTGTTAGCATGTCAAAACGTTGCAGTTGGATAATTTACAATCATATATTCCCTTACGCAATTACTCCACTTTATAGTGTTTTACCTAAATAATGTTCTTTTTAAGGTATCCTAGATATAGGTTCAAGACCTGAATTATTAATTTAAGTAGTTAGCCAATGTTTTATTTTGTTGCTACGACTAAAGAATAAAGACAAGAAAATATATGGTAATACTAATAGGTGACTAAATTAATATAACTTTCCATCCAAGTCATAAAACAATCCTTATACATTTTTTCTAATGTTTCAGGCCATTTTTGGAACCAGTTCGGCTGTAGCACATCCCCCTCCTCCATTGGTAGAAGTAAATTTTCATCTTTGTTCCAATGTGAATGTAAACGAAAAAACTGGAAATGTTACAAAGACATTGAATTTGGAAATGAACAACCAAGAACTGAAAACTCTGATAGCATCACTGGAAAAATCAATGGCCAATACACAGTCATAACAATTTGTGTTTTATTATTTCCCAGATCCTTTTTAAAACAATGAGGTATTTTATGCATAAGGTTTAAGATAATAATTATTACTTTTGTAGAGAAATTATTTTCCTACTACTGCATGGAAATTATTACATTGACATACCTAAAACAGTACCCAAAATAGCTCATTTCCGCTTCATTCATTCCCGCTTGCTAAATCAGTTGATTTCACTGTTGGCGTTTCTATAAAAAACTAACATCTGGAAAGTTAATATCGTAACCTAAATAACTCTAAATATAAAAAAGAGATATTTACTACCATTGCATTGAAATGATTACATTGCCACACCTGTAAGCAATATGCAAAATAGCTACTTTCCGCTTTATTCATTCCCCGCTTCCAGCTGATTTCACTGTTGGCATTTCTATAAAACACGAACATTCGGTAATGCACCTATAAAAGTGATTGGTTGATTCCAGTCACTAAACTACACAAAACTCTTATCACCTATTTACAGATTAAACTATTGTAGTGGAGTGAGTGCCAAATGACACTATTAGAGTGAGGAGTTAGATGAACATTGTGTACACTGATTGTTGTCCCACATAACCTAAATGGCATTTTACAAATAAAAAGCTTATGTATTATGATAAGTTAATTATGGTGGTAGAAGAAATCTTGGGTGTACTCAGCTAAAGCTTTGTGCGGCCCTCTACAGTTCTTAAGCGGCAATGATGTACTTTACGCTCTTAATACACAAACAGCTACCGGTATTTGTCACTAGATAAATGGAAAAGATGTACCATTTCAAATTGTTATTTTAAAAAAGATGAACATACTTATCTCTAATTTAAAGTGTGTATTTACTGAGTTGATTATTAGAGGTACATTTTTGAGATCTGAACACAAAACTGATTGGTGATTCAAAATGAATACCACAAACAACTTTAGGAATTTAAACTCTACAAAAAAAAAAGGAAAGCTTAGCACTATCTGTGGCGAGTTAAGGAAGCTATAGTTTCATTTAGCTGCTCATTTGTTCGCTTGAGGCGCTGTTGGCAAGGAGTCAGCGTCATTTCATGCTAAGGTGGCAACCGCTCAACAGAAAGCTTTTTGTGTTATTGACTACGGCAGAAGTAAATGATAGTTGTTTAGCGTGCATTTAGAACAAAGTATGGTGTTCAACCTCCTGATAGGTGGTGTATTAAACGTTGGTGTAAATAGCTTACACAGAATGGGTGTTTGTGCAAGGGAAAAGTTCTGGATGAAAAGTGAGGAAAGAGTTTGAGTATTGGGTTGATATTGCTCGACTCTATACTCGTCTGGAGATAGTCATATTAAACACTAGCTGTTGTACCCGTGCTTTGCAACGGGAAGAGGACACAAAATAGAAACATTTTAATCTTTATATCTGTTGCATATAATAGTTACACATCCGCCAAAGCTTTTAGAATCAAAATTCAACTTTTATGGCCTTAATAGAAACGTTCAAGTTATGACTTTTAAATCTGGTAAGTAGTGGACCACCATTTTGGTTTTGATTAATTTTAAATCTTGTGTAGGCTGAAATGAGAAAAACTGACCAAATCTTCGAATAAAACTTACACATACAATTTACCTTTATCTCCCTTAATTACATATCTTTTTATATATAACATTATAAATTTCTATTTTGAAGTTGCAAAAATACAAATTATTAAATTTAAATGGACATTTTTTTTAATTTCACTCTTCTTCATATTAAATCACAAATCCTTCCATCTTCAGTTTCTTCACTCACAATAAATCATTAGCAAAACTAAGTCACCTGTTATAAACTTTAGAAATATTGTTGTGCCTTATCAATACAGTATTTTGAAATAGTAAAGAAACTATATCCATACTATAAAAAATTTCAAACAAATCATTTAGCATTAAACACCGCAGACAGAACTAATATGATTATCAAAGCATCGAGGACTAAAAAATGTAATAGCAAATACAGTATATGTTTCATTGCATCTCTGATTCTAATCTACAAAAATATCAACAAACTACTTAATGCACAAACCAGTTCTTTTAATCAGTTCCATCGTCCATTGCCTTTAAATCTTCACACTTACCATTAAGTATACTTAGTAACAGATATTTAATTGATTTTAGAAACAAAATAACACTGTGTACTGCTTAGTTTTATGATATTTTCCTTGGTTTAATTTAATCAGTGGTGTGGCAAAACACAATACATTTATCAAATAAAGTAAATGTGAACTGAAAGCTACGTTAAGATAAAATAAGAGTATTTTGTATTACCATTTGATAATTAAACATAGTTACACATATACAACAGATTTTAGAACACAAAAATCAATGATGCACAATTTGGTTATTGATGATATTCTTTAGTTTAATTTACGCATAGGCTTAGCAAAACACAATTACTAAATTTACCTAAATATACATATTAAAAACAATGTGATATGCAAGTTATGTTAAGTTAATCTAACACATGTTAAGCAGTTCAAATTTATTGAAAGTAGCCTCCAAATTCATACAAAACATCTATACATTGTAATTTTCATACTGTTTCCATGAAATCATATCAATAACATTATTTTCATAACTTAGACGCTTAGAAAAATCCAAAGCAGAGCCGGAGTTGATACAGCAACGGTTATAGAATCTTTTTTTTACAATCACTGACAGTTTTATAATAAATAATCCATGATAAAACGTTAGATTAAAATAAACCTACATGGAAAATATTATATTTAACCTCTTTGTATCAGCTGTCTGCAATTCTAAAATATGCAATTTAGCTCAGTTCTCCTTGTTTACATTGAAATGTCAAAGCAAATGTAAAAAATCATTATTAGTGTTCTAATCGCAGCCATGGAGACCAATCAATATTTACTTTTAAAATCCTCACCTCAGAACTTTTAAAGCCAAAGGGGCAAAGCCTACGGTCATTATCGAAATGTGAATAGTCCTATAATGGTCCTTGGTATGGTAGCTATATTTTTGTAAAATTTAAGCCCAGTTGGTTCAGTAGTTTTTGCACCTATTAGTAATACACATACAGACAGACACCATTAGATTTTTATATAATAGTATAGATCTCTGAACTAGTTATTGAATGAAAAAAAAAAACTTTTAAATACTCTTTGTAATGCTTTATAACAGAAGGTTATATTATTTTTCTTTCATTAAATTCACATTTTTAAAGTTGTGGTATTCTTTTTGAATCACCCTGCATAACAGTCGATTCCAAATGAATGTAAAACCTCTAACTTATTTTCTTTCAGATTGTTAAGAATTACTCCCCGTTGATATGTCTATTTGACCAATTATTTCATCAGCTTATAATTGGTCATGTAGCATAGCAAGGTTATGATTACAGTTCAATTACTCTTGTTCAGATGTTAGGTTAAAACACCGACATGTGCACTATACCCTTGCACTTGCACAACACACATTCTTAGCCACATATAATCAAACAAATCAATTTGTTGCCTTGTTAATATAAAAGCAACTCAACTCTCGGTTAACCTAACCGTAATCACAAAACCACATTGCAGCTTATCTGGCACACATTCCAGGAAAAATAAGTGCAGACAGACGGTTTTGATTACAAACACTAGTCAATTTTTTTAAACTGCAAGTCAGTTTTTGAAACCAGTGTCTTTTTCTTGAAAGGAAGGACAGTAGGATGTAAACAAACCATAAATCACCGTCATCAGCCCCCCCCCCTGGCCCACTCAAGGTCATAGGCCCTCACCTCTTACATCTCCTGATGGCAATATAAAACTCCAATTACAAACAAAAAACGAAACATGAAAGTAGAGTTAAAAATTTACTGTACAGTAGTTTCTTTGTATATTTGTGTGCAGTTGTGTTGAAATATGTGTATTGACATTGTTCATTGTGATTCCCGTCAAATACAACATCTAGTTACGTTTTAACTATGCAATATAATTGTGTTAATTTCCATAATACTGACTTCCTTTCCCATTCAATAGTATTTTGCGGATTAACCACAATTTTACGTATTCGGGAAGCTACAACCCTACTTTATCCAGGTTAATCGGGAGTTCAGTGTACTGAAGTTGTTGCTGCATTCCTTCATTGTACTTCAAACATTATGTTTGGTTTTGAAAATAATGTAAACTGTTTAAATATTCTACGTTAAAAAGGTCAAAATTACAGGATAAATACAACGATATTGTACGAATAGACATTTTATTTAAGTAACCAACATCTATACTGCTCACATCAAAACCACAATTATTACACTATTAAAATTAAGGTATATTTCATCTGTAGCTCACTATAAGAATCACAAATGTTCACAAACCCTTATACAATACAAATTGATAACATTTCTTTTGCCGTCCTATTCTAAAATACATTCCTAATTTACGTTTACAATAGGAACCACAATGAAATCATCATAACACATTACATTATTCCAATGACATACAGTAATATGAAATAACATGGAAATCTTCTAAACAAAAGAAAGACATTTCACCACAAAGTTAACAGATTAAAGTATTTTATCTTTATACTCAAAAAAACATGATCCTATTGATGCTGGTCCTAACAAATTGCTCATTTTCGTTCATTCAACATCATTTCCAAAACCTATCAAATAATAAAACATAATAATTATTCCAATAACCTTCTACACTAATATGAAATAATATGAAAATCCTCATAACAAAGGCATTTAACCACAATGTGAAACCTATTCTATCCTGAATTAAACAAATGATCCTATTGATGCTGGTTCTGACAAATTGTTCATTTTCGTTCATTCAACATCATTTCCAAAACCTTCATTATGTCACAGTTCTGACCCTTCAGCATTTCTTGAAGATTGTTGGTGTTGAAGTTGAATCCCATAGAACGGAAAATCTCTACAGCATCTTGAATCCGCTGGCCTAGAGCAGATAAATAGAGAAATTAATTTTAATTACTGTGCAAGACACATCAGATCTTCGTTAAAGGGGTAAGCAATCATGTTTTGACAATTACATAAAAAAAAGATTTTTTGAGTTAATTATGGTTTTAGAGGTGAATTATTGTTCTGATGGTAGGTATTGAGGCAGAAAATTAATTTAAGCTGTAGATAGCCAATGTATTGATTTAGTAACATACACCACACCTTTAGTTGCAACAATTGATCCACCTAATGTTTATTACATAAATATATATATATTGTCCTAATATATTGTTGGTATTTGTGAGCAATTTCTGTACAGTCCACTCTTGGTAATTCAAACACTTGATAATTCAAAACTTTCGATAATTCAAAATGAAGGCTCAGTCCCTAGAGAATCTCTCAATATTTCAAATTTTTACCATGCATTTTGATACACTCGGTATTTCAAAGTCCAAATAGAGGGCAGGTCAATTTGTAACACGCAGTAATTCGAAGTTTCGTCGGAAAAACACTCTATAATTCGAAGTAACTCAGTAATTCGAAGTTTCGTCGGTTAACACTCTATAATTCGAAGTCATGCTGTAATTTGAAGTTTCGTCGAAAAAACACTCTATAAATCAAAGTCACGCAGTAATTCGAAGTTTAGTCGGCAACACACATGCAGTAATTTTTTCCCTAATTACATCACTTTATTTGTACTCTTCAATCAATTACAATGAATAATGATATTCTATTTACAATGATTACCGTAGATGATTTCAATACTGTGGATGACAGAGCGTGGGGTAGGTTGGCAGCACTACATTCCGCCCGACGGAAAACGCAGTTGCATAAAAGGGTTCCATTTGAACCTATGTAAAAACACGCTCCACGAAACGCCGAAACTCGGCGGAGTCTAAAGCTCATCGCACACTACAGCCAAACGCGCCGCGCCGCGCCGAACCGCCCTATAGAAACTTGCGTTGTGAGGTCGCACATACTGGCCGCCATCACCGCCGTTCCTCACCGGCAGTGGGGCAGTGCCTGTAGTTCTGCGCAGTCGTGTGATTCGTTTATGTGTTATCAAGTGTAACTTTTTGGTTATTTTTCAAGATGAGCAGCTCTGAGGATGAAGATATGTTTTTATTTTGCCTACTGGAATCAGAAGAGGAGAAAAAGAGGCAAAAAACGACGTGGGTCCATCCCAGACGAACATTTTTCCAATATTTCAGAATGTCCCCCGAAAAGTTTTATGAACTACTTCACATGCTCAGACCTCTAATTGAAAAACAAGACACAACTTTCACACAACTACTATAGACCGAGGTAGTACGAAGAATGCCGTTGCCTATCGCACACTACAGCGCGCCGCGCCGCCTTTAGCAGAACAATTCCACGTGACTTCTCTCGAGAGTTCTGGCAACGGAATTATTCCGAGGCGGAAACGGCTGCGCGGCGCGGCGCGCTCAAGTGTGCGCACTCTCATTGATTCCCATGCAAACTATTCGGCCGGAATTATTTCACGGGGGTTCGGCACGGCGCGGGGCGGCGCGTCTGGCTGTAGTGTACGATGAGCTTTAGTCCTCCGTCGGCCTCCGACGGAATTCTGAAACGCGACGGAGATTCCGTCGTGCATAAAAGGGTCCCATTTGATCCCATGTTAAAACACTCACCGACGGAAAGCCCGATAGATTCTGCCCGACGGAAAACGCCGTGCATAAAAGAGGCCTTAGTTAGAGCAGTAGTCAGAGTTAGTTTGCTGACTTGTTTTTCTAAGTTGGCAATCCGATCTCTAGATTGAGCGACATCTCCTTGAGCACAAACGTAGATTTGTCGACAGCTGATAGTTCAGCTATTGGCGAAATATATAGCGCTAAATAACAGATTTCTTTGCAACTACAGTAACTGAAAAATAGGCCGTTGATTGTTTAAAAGTGTACTAAAATACGGTATGATGTTTTATTGTAACGTGCTGTACCTTTGTATGTATTAAACAAATGAACTCTCTGTAATTCGAATGGTTTATTTTTCTCCCGATAAATCGAACTCTTGATAATTCAAAACTCTTGATAATTCAAATTTATATGCTTGGCCCACCAATTTCGAATTATCAAGAGTCTACTGTAATGATATAACGGAAAGTAAATAAAAATATGTCTAACGACACTTGAAATATTTAAATACTGTTTTAACAAGAAGGTAGATATATACAAACAGAACAAACATAAGTAGAGCTAAGGAAGATATAGCATAAGTTACTAAACTATAGTCATAAAAAATAATTTCCGCCATATTTTTTCACAAAACTATAGAACAATGCCAAAAACATAATAGATAACATGTTGGTGAAAAAAAATATTTGTTGATATCTATTTATTTATGTTTCTCAAGGGTGGGTAGTACTGTTTCAACAACATAAAATAAGCTAATTTTCACCAAATTTAAGTTTTCTGTGCATTTTACAGGTTCATATTTTTTGTATCACGGCGATCCCTAGAAGGATTGATTTACAAACACAAAAGTAAAACGTTTATTATGACATTAAATTCCTGATTAAATAAATATCATATTGAGGCATATTTGAGAGCTTGATGTTACGAAATAACAAATAAACTTTGACTATAAAGTCAAAACTTTCATTTCTCGTGTCCTCTATCGCATTTATCAGAATTATTAGTGTTAAAAACATTTTTTTTTCATGCAAAAAATGTTCAAATACATATACAGTAGAAACCCAGTTAACTGAAATAAAGGAGGGAGAGCCGTTTCGGATAACAAATTTTTCGGTTAACCCATCATATGCTAAGAATAGCCAATGTATCACCACAGTGTATAGGAAAAATTAATTTAAGATAATGACTATATAATTCAGTGTTTTATTTCAGCTACAAAAATGTTATAATGGGATAGAAAATACTTTAAACCAGACAACTGAAGTTATTAAAGCATTTTACAGCCCTATATAACTTTATAGACCCATTTCGGTTAACCCAAATTCTGTTAAGAGGGGTTCTACTGTATTACTCATAATTTCAGTTTGGGATTATGTGCTGCCTTCCCCCTCACCTCGGTAACGCAACTCAAGCTTGTTCCCTCCTTAACATAAATCTTCCTAGTCTGGATCATACTTACGTTCGCCTTCTGACAAGTCGTCAGTCTGTGGAGGTGCGGATGGGCTCGCAGAGGTGGTGGGAGGGGGAGTCTTAGGCTTAGCTCCTCTAGTCTCATCTACATCCATAGCCACAGCCTCATTACGAGCTGGAACATAAGTAAATTCATTGTAATAACAGGGATTATATTCTAAAAGAGGACAGATTTAGAAATGTTCAAGTAGGCTGGAAATTATGGTCTGAGGTCCAAAACATTTTCCTTGAGGTTGGGTCAGGCCTAAGAGTGTTGACCTTAAGATTTCTGACAAAAATTGTAAGGTTTTTAAAATATTAATTATCATTGTGTCCTGCGGTCTCCACAAAATTGAGAAAATCTGCGATCATGGCTAAATTGTGAACATCTCCTTCAATCACAGAAAAATATTGAATCAGCAAAGCCTTTTCAAATCATATTGGGTTGTGAGCCAGCTATTTTATTTTTTTTCAGTTTCATTAGATTTAATTTAACATTTTGATTTCAGACTTTTTACTTTTGATTTTAGTCCAGAATTGAATTTATAGTTTTAAATAAAAAATTTACTGTAAAGAAAAAAAAAATATTTACAGTATGCCAACCACGTAGAGGTAGAGGAGCCTAGGTTTGTAAGGATTCTTTTTTGTTTAATAAAGCACAGTTTTCATTTAATTTCATATTGAATCAACAATCCACACAGATGCTTTCTGCAGTCACAATAACATATTGCTCAGCTCCTTAATCAAGCAGCTCATAAACCTCTCATTCTGATGTAAATGATCCAGCAGGGTATCTGATGTAAATGACCTGCAGGGTATCCAGCATCCTATAAAAATAAAATTCAAAAAAGTCCTGACCGATGGGGTGAGAGCTAGGGGGGGAGGGGGGTGTAAATGCACAATCTTTCGGTTTCCTGTAAATATCTCGAAAACGGTGCCCTCTAGCGGTAAAATGTAAGTATACAAAAATGAAGAGCATTAAATTTCCAACAATAATGTTTATTACACCGTGTTCCTTAAATTAACACTTAAAGAGATACATGGGTCATAAGAAAAAAACATTCAGAGTAACTAGTATTATTGTGGTACCATAAATCAAAATACCCATCAAAATAAAATTAAGGACAATTCCATGTTTTCCAGGTTCAATATTCAAAATTTCCAGGACAAAACTTGCAGCATAAAATAAGCACAGCTTATTTACAAGATCTCGTCCCGTGGTTAAAAACTCGACCAAAAATATGTATTGTGCCAACTTCTCCATTTTCACTCCACATTGTAAATACAAACATGTGATTGGAATTTGTTTGTATTTTCTGTTTATATGTTGTTGTTATTTTTTCACCAGCATAGCAACCCATAAGGCCCATGTTAATTTTCTTATTTCAAATTCATTTTTCGAGCTTATTTTTGAGCCTATTTTAATTTATAAAGGGATTCTGCACATCTACAGGAAAATATCTTTCATTTGGTACCAACCGGGCTTAATTCGGTCCAGTAGTATGGCTAGGCAAGCTGTCGTAAGTTTTGCAAAAGTTTTTTAGTATATAAGATTCATACCAACTAGGACATTTAAACCCCCCTTAAAGGACCAAAAATAACGCAGATTAAGAAGAGTATCAACCATTTTCAAACCGAGAAAGTTGAGGTGACTTAACTATACCAAACAAATAAAAAATAGCAATCAAACCTAGCATGCATGCATCCTATAATTGAACACTGGCACAACAAATTGACCGAGAAAATGTAAATGGTGACATATATAAGAATTAATCTGGCAAATAACTATCAGAATAACAAAAAAAAAAAAAAAAAAAACATGTTTTGCCTTGCACAATGCTAATGTTATTTAATAATTGAACTATTGTACAGCAAAGTTCAGATTATAGCCTGGTTTTTTGTTTTGATTGATTATGACAACCACAGATATTAGTAATAATCAGGGATTTAAAATCTGAAATCCTAATCCTAAAAACTTACACAAACCAAGAACACAATTTAAAATACAACTGAGAACTTTCTGTAAAAATCGGATCTTTTGTTAATTTACTTGACATTTAAAAAGCACTGCAGATAATAACAATAACAATAGGTTTTCATTTGTTAAAGCTGAAATGACAATACTGTGAGCGTCTTATACAATCAATGCAAAATCCATGATAATTTCTAGTGATAACCTGGTAGTGAATACACGTTGTGGTTTATTGCGATTGCGGCAAAATTTGTGATGATTTCCCACGATTCGAGAACTTCTGTGATGTGACCCTTAATCACAACAACGACCAAGATCATTACTTGCGAACGCCAGAATTGCAGAAACGTCTTGAGCATCTTACATGATCACGGCAACACAAGTGGTAGTTCCTTAAAATTGCGGAAAGATTTGTGGTGATTTCATTGCAGAAACTTCCGGAAATCTGTGATCTTCTTGCAATCGCGGCAAAAGTCATGATGATTCCTCAATGTCGCGGCAACGGCTGTGATGATTTCCTACGATCGCGGCAACATCTGTGAGTCGAGTCGTGATAGATTATCGATGATGCAGAACGAGAAAAATTGGTGATCTCGGGCGCTTTTTTCGGCGATTATCCGAAAATTAAAATTTCCGGGTTCCTTACAAAATCCATGTACAATTCACAGATTTTTTCCTGTTTTCCAGGTTGGCTTGGACCCCCTGTTGAGCTTTTCCCAAACTTTGTTAATCGTCAATCGTTGTTAATCGTCTTTGTTAAACTTTTAATCGTCAAGGGTATTGGTTTACCCTTGACTGATGTCTCAGGTAAACTGTGATCCAGATACAAACAAAAATTTCGGGGACCCTGAGACTCCTACAGGATATGTCAAAAGGTATAGCAGCTGAGCATACCTGCTGTGTGTGTGTTTTCTAGTAATCATGTTGCCAGTTTTGTTCTGAAAAAAGAAAAATGTCTTTGATCATAGTGCTTTTAGAATATACAATTTTACTAGAAACTTACTAGGAGACTCGCGATTGATCAAAGTCCAGTCGTCAGAGTTATGACGTTCCCTGGTTGGCTCAGTCTGTGTCTGTATGGTGGCAGCTGGGGTGGCGTCTGTTTGGGAGCTAGCAGAAGGGACCTCGGCAGGGATCGGGGTAGGACCAGTAGTAGGAGCAGAGGTCGTGGTAGGACCTGTAGGGGGAGCAGGGGCCGGGGTAGAACCTGTAGGGGGAGCAGGCGTCGGGGTAGAAACTGTAGGGGGAGCAGGAGTAGGAGATGGAGCAGAAGTGGCAGTGGCAGCAGACTGTTCTGACGTCTTAGTGCGGACATCAAATGTTACATCTACCCCTGCAAAAACATGGTTAAGTCAGCAAGGAGGAATACAATGAATTTTTAAACACAAACAAATCCAACTCATTTACAAACTCATTCACAAAATTGGAATAAACTCGAATTGAAAATTCTTCTCACATGGTGTCCAGCAAGCTTTGGAAATAATATTCAAAAACAATCTCAGGTTTAAGTTTTAAAATGTTCAGGTTAAAACTTACCGTTATGGAAAACAAACTTGTCATAAGGCCTACTGGTTTCACAGGCACACACTGTTTCAGTTATATAATTTCTATATAATAATTGTGTTTAAGTTGCCTTTTAATAAATCATCCCTAAAGCGCTGAGGGGTTTTATCTCTATTTTGTAGTAATTTTATAGACACAGAGTACATTTAAATAAAACACACCTTAGACCAAACATGCTAATATTGCCACGTCATAAATTAATTGAATGACTGTTCAATGACTCATGATGAAGAGTTTGCCTTTGCTATAATTCAAATAGGCAATACATGAAACTGAGTTGCTATGAAAAATATTAAATATAGCAATATTATTTAGTTTATTTGCCAAGCAGGAATATTATTTATGATGTTTCCAAGATAAAAAATGCTTAGGGTTAATCAATACACAGGGATACATTTTTTACAAGACATTTTTAAACATAAACACATTGTACGATAGAAAATACATATTTTTTCATTGCCAAGTAGATTGAGTTAAAAGTAACAGAGTTGAATCACTTTTTAAGTGTTCAATTCAAACTTCCAAATCATCAGCTTCAATTATTTTTCACCACTAAAATGTTAATCTTCTTAGTCTGTTTTCTTGGTTGTGATAAATATATTATTTGCATCTGTTATATTTAATTGTCCTGAAATATACATTGACATTATTGTCTTAGATAAACTTGTGTCACAATCGTCCCGTTTATGCTGAAAAAAAATTAAAACAAATTGAGTAATTACGTAATGTTACAACTCTTAACAGTTAAGCATGCCTCTTATATTGTTATATTAATATCTTAAATAATTAAATTAATACTAAATTTGTGATGTGTCAAAACTCAAAACCAAACACATTACTTTAGATTATTCTAGAGGGTCGCAGCATTATCGCATAGATAAAATCCATTGGTGATTCATTAGCTGTTATCAAAAATGAAGTGTCGAAATCAATCCTCTTGAATGTGTTATTTAAATACAATGAGACTGTACCTAATGGCAGGTCAAGGTCAAGTCATGCAACCCATCTACATAAAGGCAATAATTATTACTGTACTACAAATGAAAGACAGTAGCCTACCACATTAGGACCCTCAAATAACTTAAATCAATATTGAATTGTAGGCTAACAGTCTATCTAGTGGTCTATCTAGTTTAATTGACTTTTGGATATTGAAGTAAACATCTTTATATATATATATATATATATATATCAGATAATTTTGCATTGAGACAGAACACAGTTTAATGATCCATCTCACAAACTGTGTTAATGTCAAAATATATATTTTTGTATGCTGATATTTTATTACCTCAATATTGGTTGTTTGAGTATTTATAGAAGATAAACATGACATTCCCATAAAAGCTGTAGCCAGTTAAATAATGAAAATTATCACAATTAATTGAATTGAGCCTGAGTGTGCTGATGTAAATTTCCGATTTATATCAAATATAACTTTTATCTGTAAAAAAAAAAGTTATTGTCAAATATACTATCTTTTACTTCTCATAAATTTTAGCAGCAACATCTAAGGGTTGAAATCAAATTTTGTTTGCACAATGTGTTAATGGCTCAGATAAATTCAACAATGAAGAGATAACTCCCCTATACTTTGTTGTAGAATATCTTGTAAATATTTAATCATACAATCACTGTTGAAACGGTTAAAACATCATCTGTTCTATACTGTTTAGTATTAATAGAAGTGTAAAATATTAAGTCTAAATACCATCACTTAAGTTAGAAGCCTAATATTTAAAAATATCTTACCAGAGTTTTCATATACAATTTCAACGTCACTGTCATCCTCGACAACGACTTCAAGAGTAGAAAATGTAGTGGTGCCAGGTCCTGGATTATTCTCATACGTATTTAAGTTGCTACCGAATCCACAGCTTGGACCTCTTTGATCAAGAGTATGTCCATGGCTGAAGTTGTGTGGAATAGCGTGGCCTGGGTGTCTGATAAAAGCTCTATCTCCATGATCAAGTTTTCCAATTCCACGGTGAGGTTCTTCAATTCCTTGATGGCGATTTCCAATTCCATGGTGGGGATTTGCAAGGCCATGATTTGATCGAGGACCAAAAACAGTTTGACTTTCAGGTCTTTGAAACATGTGGTGAACAACACGTCTTGAACCAAAACGTTCCTTCGATCTGTAAACTTTACTGCAACCAGTATTGTTATGTTTGAAGTGATGTGACTGATGTCTGAAATTATTTTTTTTTATTTTACGGATCATATTCAAAAGACTTCTTGATGCTTTATTTTTCCTCCTTGGACATAAATCTGAAACAACAGATTTTTATAAACTTTTTTAAGATATAAAAACTGTTAATACCAGCTTTAGATATATGTTAATACTGCCAGAATACAAGAGTTAGAAAGTGTATTTTTCAGAGGCAAAGATAAACAGATCAAATTCAGTATATTTTATAGAGATACAACCCAACACGTGATAACCAACTTTTTTTTTAAATAACAGTTAGAGCAAACTGACACATACTTTCTTCCATTAGCTGAATTATAATGGGTATAAGCAGCGGGACTAACAATGACTATAAGACGAGTTTAACGCATTGGAGACTTATCATCATGGAATGATTCCGTCATCGGCTGAATAGGCCCAAAAACCTTATCACGGAATGTTCTGTGATGACGACGTAGCATCATTATTGATTTTTTAAATAATTAACTGTTGTGTGGTTACTAAGTTTTATGGATTGAAATGTTTTTAAAGAGTTATAGTTTGAATAACATATGATTATTTAAGAATTAACTAAAAGTAAAAAGTAGAAACTATTACCAAAAAGTGTACTAATATTACGTCATTGAAAGTTTTTTTTACCGTATTTATACAGAAAGTATTATGTAACAGCTGTTGTGTTTTATTTGTTATAAGACTACAGTTTTACAATAGAATCGTTTCCTTATTTTCTCTGTAATATTAGACATTGACAAGGGATATTACAGTATTTTTATTTGTACGGTTGGTAATATGGTGCAACAGATGTGATGTGATTGGTTAGTTCTTGATGGTCAGACGTTTGTGTTTGTTTGTGTTCGTACTTTCAGTGGGAGTAAGTCATTATAACTTAGTTACAGGTATATTATTATGTTTTATAAATGGGGGGCATACAAACTAATTCAACCGCATATTCTAGAGTGAGATTGACAGACTTTTGTGCAAAATCAGCAGTGAAAGTGACGGCGAATCGGGCGGCGTAGGCCTATCGTACGACAGTGGTGATGAGAGGTTAGACAGTGTTTTACATAAATGGCTGTAAAACATAGACTAATGTAAATATAACTTGTTGTAAATATGATTTGTAGATATAATTATGAATTTAGAAAATGTATGTAGGGAATTGAATAAAGTAAGGGAATAAAACCAAGAAATAGTTTCTTTTATTTTATTTTTGAAGATTTTTAGAAATTGTTATTTTTCTTTACTTAAATCATGTTAATTACAATAGGCAATTTTAAAGCCAAATTGTTATGATTTTTTTATTGAAACAATACAAATTAGCAATTTTTTTATTGGATTCTAAAGGCTATGCTATTGAACTCAATACCAAGTCTCCAATGGGTTAAGAGTAAATATTACTAGCCGCTTTTGTAAAAATCTTATTTTTCTTTATTTTGTGGCTTTTTATGGAAAAACTCACGATTAAAATTTCAACTAAATTAAAAACCACTTGGATATATACCATGGATTAGTACCCACATACCAAATGTCATCAAAATTGGACCACGTGTAGTCGTCAGTCTGTATCTCTGTATATATACAATAGTTTAAAAACCCTGCAGGGGCACCCAAAATGGATATTTCCACCCAAAACTCAGTACAATGTGTTATTCATATTTAAGACTACAGTTTTCCTTACACATTTGTCCAATCACAACACACATTATAAAAAAGTAAAAAAGAAATCCATCATGCTTATTTAAAACTTTTTAAAAACTTACCAACATGGTATGGTGTTAGCTTCATCTCGACTTGGTTCACAAATAACTCAATTGTCATCAAAATGAGTTGAAGAGACATTATTTGTAAGTTGTCCATTTGCATTTTCTTCGTGAAAATTCATTTGAAATAAGGACAATGCAGGAAACTTAAATATACATAGTATTAACATATCTGTAAAACTCTATACACAGCAAATACATTGAACGGTGATGGTTGACATTAACCCTTTCAGTGCTATGAAACGATATATCGTTGTTTTAAAAAATCTCTAATGGATATAGAGAGGAAGGTTATTTTAACAAAAAGTAGCAAAACGGCCATTGGTGACCTGCATGTTCATAGGATACACTAAAAACCACTTAGCTAAAAGATTCGCCCAATCCGATGATTTCGAGGTGTATGTCTAAACCAAGGATTATGAACACCTCACTATGCCCCAGTGGTTGTAGTATATCGCTAAAAACACACAGGTCACCAATTATTTGCCACACAGGACGGGAATCGAACCCGAGCAGACAAATGCCACTGGCCAAGTGACACACGCCCTAGCCTTCTCAGCTATCTGTGCTTGAAGACTGAGGAGTCAAAAACCGGTATTTAAGCTGACGCCACCGATTGCGAACAGATAGCACTACAGATGGTTGTTCAATGCGCTACTAGGTAGCAGCACTAGTTAGTCTCGGACTATTTAGATGATATTTTTCAGTTGGAACACAACAGTGATCATAAATGTGTTCCTAAGACTTTGCTGCAAAACATTATTTTCCCTAAAATGACTATATTACGATAACCTCGTCCTACTAAATCAAAGTTAAATTCAATATTACATTGTAAACTACATGTCTTTTGATTTTATGAGATTTTGGTTTCAAACAATGCTATCAGAACATGAAAATTTATAGGAAAACCAGGAAAATTACAACAAAAACTAAGTTTTATTTAATGTTTACTACAAATACCGGGATTTATCTTTGTTATATATTTTCTTATTGTCTTATTATTCAAAATTCATATCAGTTCTTATCGTGCAGTCGATGCGAACGGATCGGTTTATCGGAGCTCCTGCCGATAGCGCTCTAACTTAGAAATCGCCTGTCGGCCAGTGCGTGGTCGCTGTCTCTAACTAAGTGATTTATACCAGTTCACTTGTTATCTTTTTTCAGTGTTTCCAGTGAACCCACGCGTTGATCTGTTAACATTAATATTCTAAATAATCGAAATGAAGTGTCAAAAGTGTGAAAACGATATTGTTCAAACTCGGGACGGATGTAAATGCGCGGACTGTCAATCAATTTTCCATATTACTTGCGTCGCAGACACATACAAGAAGAAATCTCCCAAGACCTGGAAGTGTGAAGATTGTTCTTTTGGAACTCCGTCTGAACCAAGGACCGGTGAAAGTGTTGAATCAGATCGTGGTCAAACAGCTGTATTAAACGCTATTGCCGCACTTCGTTCCGAAATGAACTCGCGATGGGACCGCAATGATACCAAACTGGACCAAATGCAAACGGACATTAACAGCATTAACAGTGAAATACGTGATTTAAAGGTGGAAGTTACCCGTGTCGGAACACAAGCTAGCAATACCGAGAAGGACGTCGAGCAACTGCTTGAAGATAACAAACGTATTTCTGAAGAATTAGCCAAAACTCAGGAGGACTTGCTTGATCTTCAACAACATCTACGGAAAAATAACGTAATCGTTTCAGGTGTGCCAAAGTTGCCGAGAGGATCAGATGTGTTCAAGGTGATAGCACATATCGCGGAGCTTATCAATGTCCCGTATTATCGCTCGAACATTAACGCGGCACACTGGCTTCCGAGCCAAAACAGGGACGACAGAACACAGCCCATTATAATTTCTTTTGTGTCACGCATCGTCAAAAACGAATGGATAGCAGCGAGACGTTTCAGAAGAAGTCTACTGGCATCGGAGTTACGCCCGAATTTCCCAGATCAGCAAATCTACATAAACGAACATTTAGCTCCTCACACGCGAACAATCTTCAACAAAGGACGCGACCTACTCAAGGAAGGGAAACTGGAGTCTGTCTGGACGTCCGATGGCCGAGTTCTCGTCAAAACAACACCCAAGGGACGACCGACTCGAATAACCAGCCTCCAACACCTAGACAGCGTGACGTCACTGCGAGGCAAATCCACCACCGACCACAGCTCACCGTCACCCGAGTCAACAGAGACATCACCCGCGACAAGGTCACCGACAGCAACCCAGACCACTAACACTGACGCATAGATTAACTATTTATACATCAGGTATTTGAAATGTCTCACATAATCTAAGTTTTCGACCAATCTAATGTAAAGTAACTTTTTTACTTCATTATACTATCAATCCTTATTGTCTTGATATTAAATTGGATATCTTCTAATCTGCAGTACCAACACATTTGCAAATTGCATTTCCATCTCGTAATCATTTTCATATTGATTTGTATTAATTTATGTTATCACTTTAATTGTTATTTTACTGTATTATTGGCCTAACCTATGGGAAAAAGTGTACTTCATTTACATTATTACATTATTTAACTTTTTAGTATATCATGTATTTAAACAAATCGTTATATTACTTTATCGCGTGCATTAGTTAAAATGTATTATTGACTTTCCTATTTTTTAGAGTAACTGAGCTCATTGTTAAGAAGGATTGTTGTTGAGAATTGTTTTTCCCATAATTAATTAATATATATCGGCATTTCCTTGTCTAAAAATTTATTTTTTGCTCAGATAGTTAGACTTAGCCGACTCATATAATTATTCAACTAGGGTATCCAAATAATTACATTCGAATACTGTCAAATTCTCATTCCACTATTTTATCAGAGTATTTGAATTAACCTTTGTTATAATTCCTTGAAAATACTTTCCTTAACTAAAATATGTAATCAGCATATTTAAGCAAATATTTTACATATCAAATTATTTCATTATTTTCTGGAATTCAGTTCATGATTTTATTTCGAATAGCCAAACAATTTTCTGAAATCCAGCACGATTTGATATTTAAAATAGCTAAATAGTTTGGAATTTATTCCATAGTATAGCTATGTAGGGAGAGGGGGAAGACCCTGTAGCTGCAAAAGCTGTGTCATTTGTGCTCTTCAATTTTTATAAGTTTTTAAGTAGTAAATTAAACTTTTACATGAAGAAATTGATACCTAAATATTCAGTAAGTTTTTATCTGTGAAAGTGTAAAATCGGTTTTCTCATTCAAGTAACCAGTTTATATAAATTATAGTTTTTCTGATAAACTGCAGGATTATTTCAATGCTCATAGATAAGATG